TTCATCAAATGTTCATAACTATGCTAGAAAGGACCAAACAAGGTAATAGCAGAAATACTATTACACTAAAATCTAGTAATGCTGATAAAATTAATCATGTAAGTAAAACCAATTTCGGATGTTAATATTGTAAGACAAATTTTCTTAAATTTAAGAACAGATGAGGGCTGGGGTTGTACGGTACAGCGCTCGCCTAGCATGTGCGAGGCCCTGGGTTTGATCCTCAGCACCACATAACAATAAATAAAATAAAGGTAATGTGTCCAATTACAACTAAAAAATAAATATTTAAAAAAAAAAGAACAGATGAAAGAACAGCAATTTTCTAAGAACAAAAAGAAGTATAGGTGGGCTGGGGATGTAGATATCCAATAAAAGAGTGCTTGCTTAGCATTCATAGAGTCCTGAATTCTATCCCCAGCACTGCAAAAACAAATAAAAAGAAGTACAGTATTCATTCAAGAAGAAAAGATTTCTTTACACAATGGTTTGTGACAAGAACATGTGTTGTTTTTCTGAAAGAATGTGTCACAACCGTATCACTTCATCTTGTTTATTTCTGGGCCCACATTTACTTGACAAAGTCAGAGTAAGGGAATGGGAAAAACAGTATAATGAATTGGACTTAACTTTCTTTTGTTCATACATGAACACACGACCACTGTTACTCCACATCATATACAACTACAAAAATGGGAAGTTATACTCCATGTACATAGGTTATGTCAAAATACATTCTACTATCATGTATAACTAAAAAGGACAAATAAAAAAAATTTTAAAAATAGGCAAGACAACCAGTTGAACAGAATAGAAAACACAGAGACAAATCCACATACCTACTACAGCCATCTGATATTTGACAAAAGTGCCAAAAATATATCTTGGAGAAAATATAGCTTTTTAAACAAATCATGCTAGGAAAACTGGGAAACTATATGTAGAAAAATGAAATTAGATCTCTCTCCCTCACAATGCACAAAACTCAAATCAAAATCTATCAAAGACTTAGTAATTAGATTAGAAATGGCAAATGCTAGAAGACAACAGAGGGTCAACACTCCATCATACAGGTGCTAGTTCTGACTTCCTTAACTGACTTCCCCAAAGCACAAGAAGTAAAACCAAGAATCAATAGATGGGATGCCATCAAACTAAAAAGCTTCTGTACAGCAAAGGATATGATTAAGAGTGTGAAGAGAAAGCCTATAAAATGGGAGAAAATCTTGGTTAGCTACTCTTCCAATAGGAAATTAATATCTAGAATATTCAAAGAACTCAAAAAACTTAACACTAAAAACATAAATAACCCAAACAATAAATGGCAAAAGAATTAAATAGAACATTCTCAAAAGAAACACAAACAGCCGACAAAAATATGGAAAAATGTTCACCATTTTTAGGAATCAGGGAAATGCAAATGAAAACCACACTAAGATTTCGTCTCACTCCAGTCAGCATGGCAATGATTAAGAATATGAACAACAATAAATGCTGATGAGGTTGTGTGAGAAAAAGTACACTTGTACACTGTTGGTAAGACTGCAGACTAGTACAACCATCTGGAGAGCAATATGGAGATTCCTCAAATGAATAGGGATAAAATCACCAAATGACCCAGCTATCCCACTGTTTGGTATTTTCCTAGAAGAGCTAAAATTGGCACACTACAGTGATAGTCACCTCAATGTTTATAACAGCACAATCCACAATAGCTAAATTATGGAATCAACCTGGATACCTGTCAATAGATAAATGAATTATGAAACTATGATACACACACACACACGCACACACAAAATGGAGTTCTGCTCAGCCACTTCATTCAGAAAAGAATAAAATTATAGCACTTGCCAGTAAACAGATAGAAATGGAGAATATCATACTAAGCAAAATAAGCCAAACAGAAAGTCAAAGATTAAATATTTTCTCTTAAATGTGAAAGCTAGATTAAAATAAAGGAAAGGGGGAGGGAGGGACAGGATAATACAAAGAACTAATCAAATATAAATTAATAGAGGAGCGAAAGGAAGTCAAGTAGAGTATAGGAAGGACAATGGGAGAGGGAAAGGAGGTTGGGAAGGAAAAGGAGGGAGATCATGAACTGATATTAATTTCCAGGTGTGTATGAGTTTGTTGGGATGAACCCAACTATTACATATAACTATAAATCTCTAATTTTTTTAAAAAAGTTAGAAAAAGCATTATCAAAGCAATATATGCATATAATTTTAAAAATCAAACAGTTCAAAAGGGCACCATGACAATCAATCAATAAATTCCTGCTTCATTCTTCTCATTTCTCAATTTGCCAAACTGGACACAAAACTTTCCACATGTGTTTATATTTAGTTATTCTGGTAGTTAACAATACTTTTCTCATAAGTTTTCCTTAGTATTTCTTTGCTTGTTGACCTGAGGCACTTTCTGTTGACTCCTGACTATTTCCAGCCTTTCTCCTCTCTCAACAAAGCCATCTCACCATTTTAACCTACTTGTTGGTTATTTTGGTTACTTTAATAATATTAAAACCTGTATTTTATTCTCTTAATCACAGGAAGAATTCTCCACTTGCTGATTTATGAGGATGGTAGCACCACTGTCACTTTGCGTACATTTCTTTTCCCCTCTGCCTCCCAAACTTTTAACTGCCTTTGTATATTGTCAAGGTTGCTAACATTTGCATTCTATTCTGTAATCATTTCTTCCATGCTTTAACTAAAGATCCACTCTGAAAGCTGAAAACCAATATGTACATTAGTATGACTAATATTTAAATACAATTCAGTGAATAGCAAAGTTTTATGCTGTGATTAGATTTTTCTCATTTATTTCTTAAAAGGCTTCACCCATAAGCAAGGTGGAATTCCCTTTGTCCTACTAACAGCAATTGCTCAAAATCATGGCACAACCTAGAGTGCTTCATATTTGAAACATGCTTACTTTTTTTCTAGTTTGAAATATTTCATTTTCCCCTAAAATTTCTGTCACTGCTAAAAAGAGTGGGGAATTAAGAAGTGTATTCTTCCCATGCAACCAACCTGTTGCTAATCTCCCCCTCCTTTTTGCTCAATCCATCTATTACTTAAAATACATTTCATTTAGCTTCAGGCCTACTCAGTTCCTATTCTAATTTAGAGGATCTGCCTTCCATCTGCACCATCAAAGAAAGATAAATTTTCTAAAAGTTTTTAGTTGCGTTTCCCATCCTTATTTTTTTTAATGCATTCTATATTCTTTTTCATCTTGTAAAGTTCATGCTTGTTTTTATGGACATAATAGTTTCTTAACTATTTGAGTATTTTAATACCTTTAGGTTCTCTTCATTGAATTATATATCTTGAAGAGTTAGTTTTTCATTATTTCTTAGGGTTTTCTGCTAATATTGTAGGCCATTAACAAGTGGCGAATTTTTTGCCAGAAAAAAATCTGTAGGCAGGGCTAGTCACTTTGCTCAAGGATGGGTGAGCCAGTAGTTGGGCCATGCAGTAGATGACAAAAAGTTAGCAATGATTCTAACTATGTACAGCAATGTTCAGGCAGAGGTTGAACATCAATGTAGGCGAAATTTAGGATCATCCTGGCAGCCAAGCAGAAGAAGGAAGATAGTATGTATAAAGAATGCTTCCCCGACTAGCCTTTCTAAGGTGGCTGAACTAAAGTAACCCTCAAGTATTCTCACTCTCAGCATTCAATGCGTTTTCTTCATGCAGGAATTGATAATGTATTTCTTGTTCTGCTGTTTATTTTGTTATGGTCTGTATGTACTGCTACAGTGTAGAAAACTCTACGAAGGTAAAGCCTTTGCCTATCCTGTTCACTGCTACGTCTACAATACACATAGTAGTAAATGAATAAATGTTTTCTAAGAGAACGGGATAAACACATATTCCTCAGAATCAATTCCATTAACAAATTTCAACTCTACTATAAAAAAAAAGAAAATTCAAATCAGCATAATAGATGTATATGCTATAATATACTAATGATATTGCAAAGTCCTAATTTTGCTTTATGTTTACTCTTCTATACATCCATATGTATACACATACATACATACACACACACACACACATACAAGTATACAGGCACATTATTGTGAAGGCAATACAACATTTCTTTCTAGATTATGAAGAAAACACTAGTGTATATAAGTTGTCCAAAACAATTCCAAAAAAGTCATTCAATTACATCCCCAAGACTCATAAATGGAAAAATTTCAATGTTATTTAGTCATTAGCAAAATCATTGATAACTGAATGTGAACCTCAGAATGTTCAGTAAACCTGCCAAGCGTGCACCTATAGTCAGTAGTACCAAACAAGATCTGTGACTCGGAAACTGCCCATTGCTGATTCAAGGAAAACATGTTTTCCTGGGATCTAAGAAAATGAAATCTGGTGCCACCAAAGTGGGCTATCTTCTTTGTCACATGGTAGAAATTTCTCAGAATGCAAACCTTCACCTTTTATTGTCATTTTCTATATTCTCCCTAGAGCTTCCTACATGTTTAACAATTTTCACCACCATCTTCATTCCGACAGCTACAAAGTCTTCAAAAACAATCCACATCTCCTGAGATCCAAACCCTCATTTCTAAGGAATTAAATGATGTAATCAAACTAATAACATTAATCCTTGCTCCTCAAATCAGCTCTTTCTTCTATAAACCATAATGGTATCAGCATCTTCTCAATTAAGCAGGCCAAGAGCCAGGAAGTGACTCCCTCTCCTCTTTCTTACTGATCCAACACCTTCCCAATCAACTAGGCAAGCCCAACTGACGTCATCTCCTTAAAATTCCTCATCTATCGCTCTATTTCCCCATCCCCTCTTCTAGACATTCAAACATATCTAAGCATCTGGATTATTATTTAACAAAAGTAAAAGAAAGGAATTTAAAGGAGTTTGCACTAATATACACAAAAAGACAAAGTTCATAAGTAAACTAATCTATCCTATCAACATCAAACTCAGCTAATTTTAAAAAAGGGACTTACTTAAATGGTGTAAACAAAAATGGTAAAGTAGCTTCTTTTTTCTGAGTCATTTTCACCTGGGAACCAAGCACAAAAATATTTTATTACATTATAAATATTAAAAAATTAACTAATTTCATTTGAAATACAAATATCCATTAAAATGGTTCTTCAGAGTTGGTTAACTACTTTGAAATAATTGGAATTTTGTGTTACTATATTGTTTCATGCATATTTTAAAAAATTTGACACTATCTTACTATCTTAATATGCTGAGAATCATATTAATCCTGAAAACATAATATGCTGTAATGTAATTAAAATTTTATTTATTAACTTTTTGAAAACAAAACCTGCCAAAGTTTTAATCTGAATCACTTCATTAGGTTGTAAGGTATCTAACAATGTATGTGAAATGACAAGAAATGTTACATCTTTAATACTACTTCTGTGGGGCAAATTCTAGTCATAAAGATCAACTTGTAGTTGTTACAAGTGTAGCTGGTAATTTATAATTAGGGACACTCCTCAAAGGCAATTCTACACCCTTTGACTCATGGAACCGGCACCTCAGAAATGACACTAGGCAAATACAGAAAATTTAAAGATAATGAGTTGTAGGAAATATTTAAAACATGAACCACCTCACTTAATATGTTCAATTTTTAAATAACAGTATTATGCATTTTTATGTCTTTTTTTTTTTTTTTTTTACCTTGAACTGTTCAAGAATCTGTACTGCATTTGTAAACATGCTTTCTGCTTTGAAGAGATCAGTATTATTAAGATATTCCACAGGAAGGATTCCCTGCAAATAATAAATATAGGCTTAATATTAGTATTAGTAAAACTCAGGCTATTCTTATAAAACAAAACAGACTTAAGAGGGAAGCAAATATAGACAAGATATACAGTCAAATAAATCACTAAAGAAGAATCTTTTATAAAACCATAATCAAAATATGTTGTTATTTTTCTCACAAATTACATGTTATTTTTCTCACAAATTATTGAATTAAAGTCAATATAACCTAACACTAAGTTATTACTGCTATGGTTTAGATCCTAAATGTCTCCTAAAGGCCCATGTTTTAAATGCTTGGTCCCTGATGCTATTGGGAGGTGATAAAAACGTTTAAAGGTGGGGTCTAGTGGAGGGTCTTTGGATTTACTGGGGGTATAATCTCAAAAGAGGATTGTGATACCTCAGTCTTTCCCTTCCTCTCTCTCTTTTTCAAACATTTTGTTGTAGTTGTAGTTGGACACAATACTTTTATTTTATTTTTATGTGGTGCTGAGGATCAAACCCAGCACCAGGCATGTGCTAGACAAGCACTCTAGCTCTGAGCCACAACCCCAGCCCCTCCTTCCTCTTTTTGTTTCCTGGCCACGTGGAAACATTTTGCTCTGCCATGTATTTCTACTATTATACCACCATGGACTGAAACCTCTAAAACTGGAAGTCAAAAAAATACATAAAACAAGAAAGAAAATTAATTAATTAATTAATATAAATTTGAGACAATATAAATGTTTTCTCTTTATCGGCTGACTACCTCAGGTATTTGTTAGAATGAAAAAAAGAAGAGGTGGGGAGGGGGGAGGGGGGAGGATGGGAAAGGCAGCGGAGCACAACAGACACTAGTATGGCAATATGTAAATCAATGGATGTGTAACTGATGTGATTCTGCAATCTGTGTATGGGGTGAAGGTGGGAGTTCATAACCCACTTGAATCAAAGTGTGGAATATGATATGTCAAGAAATTTGTAATGTTTTGAACAACCCACAATAAAAAATTAAAAATAAAAAAAAAAGAAAAAAAGAAGACTAATACAATTACTATACGCTAGGCAGTGAATTAAATGTCTTATACACAAAAATAAATCAATATGGTGGGCCACAGCTTGCATACTTAAAAATAATAAGACATACCAGAGTATACCGTACATTTTAGAAGTAAAGACTGTTTTATACAATTTTATTTCATTTATATACATCCACACACTCATGACTGTCAGGGTCATATTACTCAAGAGTTTTGAGTTATATGACATTATTTTTAAAGTAAATTTGATTTTTTAGAGCTAATAAAAGTAAATGGAATGAGTATTCTTGGTTTCCTTTTGGCTTTTCAACATACATGCACATTAATAACAGCATTATTAAGTAATTAAATTAAAATTACTTAAGTATTACTAAGTAATTTTCCTCAAGGGATATAACATGGTGGTTCTATAATCAGTGGGGAAACTCAAGAATTAGGCAAATAACTTGGGCCAGATCATGTGTAATTCAACTCTTGAGCATCAAGCAACAGAAACTAAAACAGGTATAATGCTACCCATTCTCTACCTTCCTCTAGTATTGGTACCATAAGCAGAACAGTCCTGCCATGGGACTGCGGTTGTGGTTCCTTTTTGTAAGTCTCCAGAGCTCCCTTGGTTCTCAGTAATTTTAAAGCCTGGTGTTTGAGCATCCCTGCAATTCAGTAAGCCATCAATACCTTTTTAAAAATTTCCTTTTAAACGGACTCAATCTCTGCTGCTTATTACCAAAAAGTTATTCATATTTTTATCACTTGTAACTAGAGTACACAGATATAAATCATATGTATTTTAGAATATGAAAAATGTTAAAGCTATTGAGTGTGTCCTTCATGTTATAAAATACTATAAACACACAATTGTAAAGTATTACATGTTTAGAAATAAATATATAAAAATGCACAGTTTTTAAATCTAATTAAAGATTACACAAATGGAAAATACTGGGGAATGATATTGGTAATATTATATGGTTATATTGTGTGTCTACAAATGTGTAACAAATCCTAATATTATGTACAATTATTACAAATTTGGAAAAAATAAAGATTATAAAAAATACAGAAGAGTAAATTTTACTGTGCAATTTTTAAAACGCTCAGTATTGATAATAAAATTTTATTTCCTACCACTGAATTAAGGGGAAAGGGAACTCCAATAAGAGAAGCCATCAATGGTGCAATATCAGCCTACAAAGAGAAAAAAAAAAATCAGTTCTAAGAAGTCTATGGATGTAAACATAGAAATAATTTAATCCAACTATATTTTTAAAAATAATCATGATTGTCATAACCAATTACCTTTAAACATTCAGTTAATACACAAAAGATGTTAATCCCTTAAAATGTCATTTGCTAAAAATGAACTTCTGAAACAATAAATTTGAAAAGTAAACATTAAGTCCTCAGTGCAAATACATGAAAACAACGATCACTTATTCTATTAGCTAAAATAACCTGATCATTTACATCGGTTTTTCAGTATTATGCAAAAGAATGCCTTAACTAGTAAGAAAATATACAGCAAAGACAATAACTACAGAAAAGTGTACAGAACTAAAGAAAGTAAGTATCTTACTTACTATTCAACTGTCTTTAATAAATATCATCTTCCCCAAACTGGAAATCTCTAAAGTCCTTCTAATTTCCCTTTTGTCCTCTCCCAGAATCTATTATTGGCCTCCTCTAATCTGTTCATACAGCACCTAGAATTCTTTCACATAAATTTGAATCATTTCATTCTCAAGGGCTTCAAACATTTCTAGAACTTCCCCAACTTTCTATAATCCACAGTACCCATAAGGTGCCACAGGATCTGTGCCTATCTTCCTCTGCTCCATACCACATAGCCTTAACAATTTCTTACACACCAAGTACCTTCTTTCAGAGCTCTTTGCAAATGTTTCCCCTTTGCCTAGAAAGTCTTCCTGCTATGCACTGAACTCATAATTCCTACTTATTCTTTAACCTCAACTCAATCCTCAATTTGAAACTTTTGCTGACCAACACACTTGATCACATCCATCCACTATTTGTTATTATGGCTTTACCGGTCTCTTCTATAGTATTTAATACAGCTATAATTCACATTTATTTGTATACTAGTTTGATTAGTATCAGTTCTCATCTCTGACATATAATCTTCCCAGGGAGAGATTGTGTTCACTTTTACTTATCATTATATCCTTCCAATTAGCATAAAATGTAAAACACTGCAGGCATGTGACAGTGTTGATTAAAGGAATGAACAGATTCTTATCTAAGTAGATATGAATGAAGCAAGAGTTTGACAGCAGACTGAGTATTTAGATAGCAGTAGCTGAATAATGTTCAATTTCAGTTATGATCCAGTCTGGCTATAAGAAAAATATGTTCTAGTTTTGTGTTTTTCCAACTTTGACAATGGTTTTCAAGTGTGTGTACATGCACACGCGCATTTGTGTATTTATTTATCAATGGACCTTTATTTATTTATATGTGGTGCTGAGAATCAAACCCAGTGCCTCACACTTGCTAGGCAAGGGCTCTACCACTGAACTACAACCCCAGCCCAACAATGGGTTTTTAATTGTAAATTAATGAATAGATATTCTGATTTCATAATTGTCATTTACTTAGTTAATATGCATCTATCTTGAGATCATAAAATAAGAAACCTTCTTGTTATGCTGACAAGTGGCCTGAAAGTGGGAGCCCAGACCTTGGTTTGTCTACCACAGTAAGGAATGTAAACTTATGCATGACATGGAAGGCAAGATACTCCTGCCACTTTGGAAGCCACATCATTATATCCCATGTCTTCTACAAATAGTGAAAATGGCTCTCTAAGTAGCATATCCTAAACAATGACAACTGTGGGTTTCATATTTACAGATGCCACAAGTCTAACTTTATTAGGTTTTCCACACACTTTCCTATAACAGAAAATTTATAGTTGAGTAATTTATACTCTCATAATTTTTCCTCATTACATTTGTAAGGATGGTGGTTAAGTAAAAAATCAAAATATAGTTAAAGGCAATATATATGTTAAAAAAGAAATGGTAACAAACACAATACAGAAAAGAAATCCCTAATAGATCTGTATTCAGAGAAAACAATGAAACTATAATAAATCATCACAGAAATATAACAATCACGAAAATTCTAACTGATATAATATGAATTATCCAGTGTTATTTGGAGTGAGCTTTCTTTTATTGTCACTTGGGATTTTTAAATATTTTGCCAAGGAGAGATTAGTTGGGCTAAAATATTTGCATTGAAAGTATTCTCTTTAGTTTGGAAATGTTTTTGGAAAATCTTTTGTCATTCTTATTAATAGGCCTACTTTTCATATTTTTCCCCTTTCCCTTACCTGCTCGTTCCCCTGGTCTGCTTATCTTTCTTTGATTCCTCCCCATCCCCACCCCTTTTATTATCTTTTCTCCTCTCCAGCTTCCACATATGAGAGAAAATATACAACCCTTGACCTTCTGAGTTTGGCTTGGTTTGCTTAACCTTATCTCAAGTTCCATTGTTTTCCTGCAAATGACAATTTCATTCTTCTTCATGGCTGAATAAAATTCACTGTGTATATATATCCCAATTTCTTTATCCATTCATCCGATGACCTACAGTAGTTCTACAGTTTGGCTAATATGAATTGTGCTGCTATAAACATGGGTATGCAGGTATCACTATAGCATGATGGCTTTAATTCATTAGGATAAATACCATAAAGTGGTATAGCTGGGACTATACTATTTTATTCTAGTTCTAGTTTCTATTTCTAGACTTTTTTCTGGTTCTGCGAAGAACATCAGTGGTATCTGATGGGGACTGCATTGAATCTGTATATTGCTTTTGGTAGGATGAACATTTTAACAATATTAATTCTGCCTATTCATGACCATGGAAGGTCTATTCACTTTCTTTTGTCTTCTTTAATTTCTTTCCTCAGTGCTCTAGGTTTTCATTATAAAGGCCTTTCTCCTTCTTGGCTAGATTTATTCTTAGTTTTTGTTTTTGAGACTACTGTAAATGGAATTATTTTCCTAATTTCTTTCTCAGCATTTTAATTATTAGCATATAGGAAAGCAACTGGTTTTTGTATGTTGGTTTTGTAACCTGCTACTTTGCTGAATTTCTTTATTAGCTTGAGCAGTCTTTTGGGGAAGTTTTTTTCAGTATTATAAGTATAGGATCATATCATCTGCAAACAATGACAATTTGACTTTTTCCTTTTCTATTTTTATCCCTTTTATTTCCTTCCATTGCCTAACTGGTCTGGCTAGAATTTCTGGTACTGTATTAAATAGAAATGGTGATAGTAGTCTTGTTCCAAATTTTAAAAGAAATGCTTTCAGTTTTTCCACATTCACTACAATGCTGGCTTTCAGTTTTTTACATAGAGCCTTTATGATGTGGAAGTAGATTCCTTCTATCCCTAGTTTCTTCAGTGTTTTTGTCATGAGCTGAAATTTGTACGTTTTTTCTGCATCTATTAAGAAGACCAAGTGATTTTTGTCCTTAATTCTATTTATGTGATGGATTACACCTAGCTTTGCATATGTTAAACCATTCTTGCATCACTGACAAAAAATTTGGTCAGGATATACTTTCCTCTTAATATGTTGTTGAATATAATTTGATAATGTTTTATTAAGGATTTCTGCATCTAAGTTCAATAGGAATATTGGTCTGTAGTCTCCTTGATATGTCTTTCTCTGGTTTTGGTATGAGTGTATATATATATATATATATATATATATATATACACACACACACACACACAGAGAGAGAGAGAGAGAGAGAGAGAGAGAGAGAATGAGAAGATGAGTTGTTGGTAGATCTCTATTTTATTCATTTATCTGCAGTGCTGAGAATCAAACCCAGTGTCTCACACATGCCAGGCAAGGCGCTACCCTAAGCCACAGCCACAGCCCCTGTTGGCAGGCTTTTTATTACTGCTTCTATCTTATTGCTAGCTATTGTTCTGTTAAGGTTTTCTATGATGTCTGTATTCAATTTAGGCAGGCTATATGTGTCTAGGAATGTATCCATTTCTTGATTTTCCAATTTATTAGTGTAAGTTTTCAAAATAGTCCTTAATGATATTCTGGATTTCTGTGATGTCTATGGTGATTTCTCCTTTTTCATGTCTAATCTTATTAATTTGAAAGTCTCCTGTCTTCATTTTTGGCTTATCAACCTCGTTTATCTTTTCAAAGAATCAGTTCATTTCCTTGATCCTTTGTATTTTTTTTTTATTCTCTATTTCACTGATTTTGGTTTTGATCTGAATTATTTCCTTCCTTCTACTGATTTTGGAACTGGTTAATTATTTTTCAAGGCCAATGAGATGCATCACTCCGTCATTTTTATTTGGGATCTGATTTTTCTGAAGTAGGCATTCATAGCTATAAACTTTCCTCTTAGAATTGCTTTCACAGTGTCTCAGAGATTCTAGTATATTGTACCACTACTCTGATTTGATTCTAAGAATTTTTAAATCTCTCCTCTGATCTCTTCTATCAGCCACTCATCATTCAAACATGTATTTTCAATATCCATGTGTTTATATTGTTTCTACAGGGTTTTGTTGTGTTGATTTCTAATTTCATTCCATTATTATCTATAGAAGAAATTATATCAACTTTTTTATTCTTTCTAAGTGCTTTGTGACCTAAAATACAGTCTGTTTTAAAGAAGGTTCCATGAGTTGCTGAGAAGAAAGCATATTTGACTGTTGTTGGATTACATGTTCTATAGATGTCTGTTGTCCATTTAATTTATAATATTTTTAAGGCCTGAGGAACCTTAACTGAGTTTATAACTGGATAACCTATCTATTTATGAGAAAGGTATGTTGAAACCACATAGTATTATTGTATTGGGGTCTATATGAGGCTTTAATTCAAGTAGTTTCTTTTATGTTAATAGGTACACCACCATTTGGGGCATAAATATTTACTATTGTTGTACCTTCTTGTTGGAGTGTGTCCTTTACCAGTATAAAGTGACCATCTTTGTCTCTTCTGATTAATTTTTGGATTGAAGTCTGCTTTGGCAAAAACCAGAGTAGCTACTCCTGTGTGTTTTAGGATCCATATGCATGGTATATCAATTTCCATCCTTTCACTTTTAGTGTAGGGCAGTCTTTGCCTGTAAGGTGAGTCTTATGCAAACAACATATACTTGGGTCTTGTTTTTTAATGCCTTTTGCCAGCCTATACCTTTAATTAGAGAGCTGAGATATTCAATGCTACCATAGTGAGATATTTATTAATTCATACAGTTTTGATTTATTTCCATGTTTAATTTGGACCTGTTTATCATTTGCTGAGCTGTTCTTCAAATGAGATTTGTTCATTTGTGAGCTCTGGAGTTTGTTTTTGATTTCTTCTGTGTGCAGTACTTCCTTTAGTATTTTTGTGGTGGTTTAGTAGTCATAGATTCCTTTAGTTTCTGCTTAATGTGGAATGTTTTTATTTCTTCTTCAATTTTGAAGGATATCTTTGCTGGATATAGCAATCTTGGTTGACAACAATTTTCTCTTGAATCTAGAACATAAGTTTTGGTTTTTAGAGTCTGTGCTAAGAAATCAGGAGTAATTCTGATTGACTTGCCTCTATGACCTGATGATTTACTGTGCTTTTCATTTCTTTAGGGCCTTTAAAATTCTATCCTTGTTTTGTAAGTTAGGCATTTTCATTATAATGTATTATGGAGAAGTTCTTTTCTGATCTTGTCCATTTTGAGTTCTGAATGCATCCTCTATCTGGATGCTCATCTCAATCAAAAGGTCGGAAAAATTTCTGTATTATTATTTCCCTGCAGAGGTTACCCATTTTGTTAGCCTGCATCTCACAACTCTCTTCGATTGCCATAATTTATTTTTTTAGTTACTATAGTTTTCTTCTCGATTTTGCTTATTTATTTTTATTTTTAATTATACATGAGAATAGAATGCATTTTGATAGAATATATACACATAAATAACCTATTCTATTCGGTTTCCACTCTTCTGTTTGTACATAATGTGCAGTTACCCTGGTCATGTATACAAATCCAAGGCTAGGAAAGTTATGACCAATTAATTCCAATAATTCTTAAATTTGGCATCTTAATGTGATCTCAGAGTTCTTGTACATTATGATTGGCTACCTCTTTTCTTTTCTTTAATTGTCTGAATGTTCAAGGCCACCCACTTTGTCTTCCAGCTCTGAGATTTTGCCTTCAGCATGAGCTCCTCTATTAGAAAAACTTAACTCAGTATTTTATTTGATTTACTGTGCTTTTCATTTCCTAGATTTCTTTTTGTTTTTTTCAATAAATATCTTTATCTTCTTAGTAGTTTTTCCTGTGTTCTCTTGGACCTCATGAATCATTCTCTTGAATTCTTTATCTGACATTTCATCCACTTCAATATCTTTACAGTCATTTGCTGTAAAGTCAATTCCTATTTTTGTGTTTTTCACTGAGCTGCCAGTTGGAGTGGTTGAAATAGCTCTTAGCTTCCCTTCTCACCAGTGAAAGATAGGACAAAACGGTAATTACTGTCAGTTGGAGTTTTGTCTGCACGGATCACATCGTTGCATTCCCAAGATGAGGCTACTGCAAAGTTCTATTTTTCATATTTTTAATCCAAATTTCTTATAGGAGATAAAATTAAATTTGAACATGATTAAATTGAAATAGACACCTACCTGATTGACATCTTGCCTCTTCCAGGACTCCAGTCTCCATTCTGAAAGACACAATCAGACACAAGATAAGATTCAAAAAAGAATAAACCACTTGATTTTTAGGAGTGTTCAATACTTCATGGAAAAACACAGATACTGGAAATAACTCTCTTTTAAGACAAGTATGAATAAAAAAGGCTGCTTAAAAGGCAGAGGTACATGTTTCTTAAAAAGAATTTTAAAAGAAACCAGGCATGGTGGCGCATGCCTGTGATCCCAGAGGCGAGAGAGGCTGAGGCAGAAGGATTGCAAGTTCAAAGCCAGTCTCAATAAAAGCAAGGTGGTAAGCAACTCAGGAGACCCTGTCTCTAAATAAAATACAAAATAGGACTGGGGATATGGCTCAGTGATTGAGTGCCTCTGAGTTCAATCCCCGATACCAAATAAAAACAAAACAAAACAAAAAAAAAGAATAACCAAAAAGCAAATATTTGATGTTTTCTGTGGTTTATTAAGCTTCTTAGATGCTCATTTAGAGAAAATTGTTTTAAAACACTGTCTAATGAAGGAAAGACAGAATTTAAAAAGTACAATGATGACTATCTGTATGACCACAACTCATTACAATCTTGTTTCAGAGAGTTATTAAGGCAACTGATAGCACAGTAGTCAACACAAGTTTGTTTTTGTTTGTTTTCTTTCTGTGATGGCAGTGGCTTACAAAATATTTTTACATTGTAGCTGTGAAATTCCTATGATTACTAACCCCAAATGTTTAAGATAGTATACTGACTTACTATTAAAAATCTTCAAGGATGACCCAAAAGGTTCTACCAAGAAACTTCTAGAACTAGTAAATGAATTCAGCAAAGTGGCAGGATATAAGATATAAAATCAACACCCATAAATCAAAGGCATTTCTGTATATTAGTGACAAATCCTCTGAAATGGAAATGAGGAAAACTACCCCATTCACAATATCCTCAAAAAAAATAAATAAAATACTTGGGAATCAACCTAACAAAAGAGGTGAAAGATCTATACAATGAAAACTACAGAACCCTAAAGAAAGAAATAGAAGATCTTAGAAAATGGAAAGATATACCTTGCTCATGGATAGGCAGAATTAATATTACCAAAAGCACTTTACAGATTCAATGCGATTCCGATCAAAATCCCAATGGCATTCCTTGCAGAAATAGAAAAAGCAATCATGAAATTCATCTGGAAAAATAAGAGACCCAGAATAGCTAAAGCAATTCTAAGCAGGAAGAGTGGAACAGGCGGTATAGCGATACCAGATTTTAAACTATACTACAGAGCAATAGTAACAAAAACAGCATGGTACTGGCACCAAAACAGGCTGGTAGACCAATGGTACAGAATAGAGGACATAGAGACCAACCCACAAAATTACAACTACCTTATATTAGACAAAGGTGCTAAAAGCATGCAATGGAGAAAGGATAGCATCTTCAACAAATGGTGCTGGGAGAACTGGAAATCCATATGCAACAAAATGAAATTGAATCCCTTTCTCTCACCATGTACAAAAGTTAACTCAAAATGGATCAAGGAGCTAGGAATCAAACCAGAGACTCTGCGTCTAATAGAAGGAAAAGTTGGCCCTAATCTCCATCACGTGGGGTCAGGCCTCAAATTCCTTAATAAGACACCTATAGCACAAGAGTTAAAACCAAGAATCAACAAATGGGACGAATTCAAACTAAAAAGTTTTTTCTCAGCAAGAGAAATAATATGTGAGGTAAACAGGGAGCCTACATCCTGGGAACAAATTTTTACCCCTCACACATCAGACAGAGCTCTAATCTCTAGAGTATAGAAAGAACTCAAAAAGTTAAACACCAAAATAATAAATAACCCAATCAACAAATGGGCCAAGGACCTGAACAGACACTTCTCAGAAGAGGATATACAATCAATCAACAAATACACGAAAAAATGCTCACCATCTCTAGCAATCAGAGAAATGCAAATTAAAACTACTCTAAGATACCATCTCACTCCAGTAAGAATGGCAGCCATTATGAAGTCAAACAATAATAAGTGCTGGTGAGGATGTGGGGAAAAGGGTACACTTGTACATTGCTGGTGGGACTGCAAATTGGTGCAGCCAATTTGGAAAGCAGTATGGAGATTCCTTGGAAAACTGGGAATGGAACCACCATTTGACCCAGCTATTCCTTCTCGGACTATACCCAAAAGACCTAAAAAGAGCATACTACAGGGACACAGCCACATCAATGTTTATAGCAGTTCAATTCACAATAGCTAGGCTGTGGAACCAATCTAGATGCCCTTCAATAGATGAATGGATAAAAAAAAAATGTGGCATTTATACACAATGGAATATTACTCAGCACTAAAAATAACAAGATCATGGCATTTGCAGGGAAATGGATGGCATTAGAGCAGATTATGCTAAGTGAAGTTAGCCAATCCCTAAAAAACAAATGCCAATTGTCTTCTCTGATATAAGGGGGGGGTGACTGAAAATGGGATAGGGAGAAGAGCATGAGAAGAAGATTACCACTAAATAGGGAAGAGAGGTGGGAGAGAAAGGGAGGGAGAAGGGGAATTGCACGGAAGATGGAAGGAGACCCTCATCATTATACAGAATACATGTATGATGATGTGAGGGGAAAAAAAAAAGAAGTGTGTCACATTAGATTGGGTAGAGAGAAGTTATGGGAGGGGAGGGAAGGGAAAGGGAGGAAGGGAAGGACAGCAGAATAAAATAGACACTAGTATTGCTGAATGTATATATGTGACTGTATGACCAATGTGATTCTGCAACCTGTACACTCAGAAAAATGAGAAATTATACCTCATTTGATTCAAATGTCTGATATGTCAAGATCATCGTACTGTCATGTGTAACTAATTAAAAAAAAAATAGGGCTGGGGATGTGGCTCAAGCAGTAATGCACTCGCCTGGCATGCGCAGGGCACTGGGTTTGATCCTCAGCACCACATAAAATTAAAAAAAAAATAAAGATTGTGTGTCCACCAAAAACTGAAAAATAAATATTAAAAAAAATTCTCTCTCTCTAATAAAAAACATATTATTTATAATAAAGTTTTCTTAAAATCATTTGGATATAGAAAAGAAACTATAATTTGAAAAGTGATTATTAAAAATTATTTTAAAATGTTAATTTTAGTTTTACTTTCAAATATAATGTTTATAAAATGATAAAAACAAATACTTATACCTTTCAAAAACTCATCCTCAAATTGTTGAGCTGATACTTTTTGGGGATACTTGATTCCAGCTCCCCAAGTGACTAAAGGAGTCAAAGTCTCTGAAGGATGACCAGCCCCATGGGAACCTATAAATAAGGCATCAAGAGTAATAAGACACATATAAGAACTTATCACTATTTTAAAAATATCTTGTTTTAAAGAGTTAATCCATATATCACTAATTCTAGCCACCACATTCTAAATGCTTGTAGATTTTCAAAACAATTAGTTTGAAATATTCCCATAAGTCAGAGCATCAAAACAAACAAGTAAAAACAAAAACAATAATAAAACAAGAATGTCTGCTGCGTAACTTATTGAAAGAAGAAAATTAAAATAATAACAGGAAATGATGGAGAAGCTGTTTCTATTACCAGAGTAGTATGGAGAAGAAAGAACATGGGAGGGCTCCTTGAGGGAGTAACCACTCAGACTTGGAGCAAGCAGTATAGGCTTCTGCAGAGAACAGCAAGGTCTATGGATCGTTTTCTTTCAGGCCTCTTAAAGCTGGTATAGCTAAAAAAAATCCTTCATAAAGTAGACCCAGCCACTAGGATTCTTTCATGTGTTCTGGAGGTCCACACCTCATCTTGACATTCATTATTTCATTCTCTTGAGTACACAGTACTTTTGCCTTGGGAGTCTAACAGGCAACATAGGCTTATTTCAGATAGAATTTTAGCAGTTCTAGGCCCCTCAGTAATACTGTCCTAATATCACCCCTTTATCATCATATATGGTAAATTCTAGGCAGACAGATATTTCTTCTCCATACTTTTTTTTTCTAGTTTTTCATTTGCAAATACTTCTTCTTACAATTAGAAAAAAAGATTCTTTACATAAGATCATTCTTTTTCCACTAACATTTTAAGGATATGACTACTCTGTGCTAGCCACTTTACATGAAATAAGACACCTAATCTTCTCAACATTATAAGATACCTACAAACTACATTTTTCACTATTTTACCTGTAAGGTACATATCACTTAAAGAGATACTAACCCCAGTCTGTCATTCCATGGTCAGAGGTAAAAATAAATGCTGTTTTTCCATCATTTCCATAAAAATGTTGAAACATGGAGACAATTTCTTTTACTCTATCATCAACTATTTTAATGTTGTCTTTATACTCCCTGTTTATAAAGAAGCAGAAGAGCAAATTAAATTAACTTGAAGAGAAAACATTTATTCAAAAATGGACTCTTTACATTCAATGTTAGGAATTCATAAAATCCTTTTAGTCTTTAATACAAATCAGAGCTCTTTAGATTATGAAAAATAATTTTTTCTCCTTTAAAGAACAAAAGAACCTGAAACAGTTTTAAAAGATGGTTTAAAAGGAGGTACTGATTAGCACATATATTTTAATGAACTCTTTAGGTCCCAAATGAGATAACGATGACTTCATATTCTCTGATAATATAAACTCTGCTGTTCTGACTATCTGAATAGATAAGTGTCACTGTTTCAAGGATAGAATGTCTTCATCCTAAAAAGAGTCTGATATGTCTTGAGCAAATTATATTTAACCTTTCCATGCAGTTGAACAAAGATGTTCTCATATGAATATATCAATCAATTAAACAATACTGGCAGTTATTTCAATATACTTTATATTTGTATTATATGTATCAATACAAATTCAAAATAAGGAATAAAAGAGATTTCTTTCTCTTATGCTCTGCCAAAGTGAGAAAAAAATTTGCTACTATATATAAAGAGTGCCATGAAAATATATAGAAAACTTTATATCATTATTTGCTAGATACAATGCAATGAAACACACAAGGAATTACATCTTTTTTGTGATGTCAAAATTAACATCATAAAAATATTTTTTATTTCAAGATTAATTGATAAATTTCTAAAATATAGATATTTTAAATGAAATATTTTTCTTTGCCTTGATAATGAAAAGAATATGGAATATATGTACAGGAGATCTTATTTTAATAAGTAACACAACTATAGCACATGTAATTTTAACTACTCTACAATTTTTTAATTTTTTGGTATTGGGGATTGAACCCAGGGGTGCCTTACCATTAAGTAACATCTCTTATGCTTTTTATTTTTTGAGACAGGGTCTTGCTAAGCTGCCTAGGCTGGCCTTGAATTTGTGATACTCCTGCCTTAGTCTCCCAAACTTCTGGGATTACCACCCATCTTATATCTCATATAATTAAGAATTTGCTGTATATTATACTACTTCTTTAAAATATTAGCTCTGTTGTTATAAATACAAAGAAAATGGCATAATAATTTAGAATTTCAAGGGGCATAGCGATTCCCCTCAAACAAAAAAAAATCAAATTGAACACATTAAAATTACCTTGATGATGGTCGGTGGGCATGTCCATTTGTATCAAGTCCTAATAAATGTAAGAAAAAAACTACCTTTTCTTCATTTACTTTAGAAAACAAAGATTGATTGTTTCTGGCAGCATGAAAGAAGTCCTATATGTAACAAATCAGTTTAAAAATTAGTTCATTTATTTTATTTAAAAGGTAACAGAAAGGAGATCTTAATTTTATGAAAACTTAACATCACTGTTATGACATACCTAACTTAATAAAATATAACAGGTTGAAGAAAAATTTCAGCGAGAACCAAAAATAGAACTGATTTATTATTTTTAAATATATTCAGAGCTGAACCAGTTCTCTTTCTCCTGTCCGCTACCATTCTAGTCCAACCATAATCTCTCATTAAGAACATTGTGAGTAGATTCCTAAATACTTTTTTTACCTCAGCAAGAATCTGTTCTTCACACTATAATAGAAAAATATCTACTTAATGAAATAAAATTCAAAAGTTATTTATTGCATAATGAAAAATTGGATTCCTGACCCCTTCCAAGACAAATGATTCATCTTATACTCCTATACACATGAACATATATGCAAATACCCATGGAAAGTACTTTTAAGTAATTTTAAATAAGCCAACTGGCTATACCAAAATATATCATTGTTGTTTATATAAATGCCTCCAACTGTAGAAAATGTTAATTTTCTTTTTTTTTTGTATCAAGGATTTAACCCAGTGCACTTAACCACCGAGCAACATCCCCAGCCCTTTACTAAGTTGCTGAGGCTGCCCTCAAACTTCCAATCCTCCTACCTTAGCCTCTTAAGTCTCTGGGATTACAGGAATGTGCACCACACCTGGTTAGAATATGTTAACTTTCAACAAGCAATGTTTAATTTTTCAACAAAGCTTTGAAGCTTTTTTTTCTCAAATAATTCTTCATTATTATAAATGTTAAAAATATAAATGGGGGTTGGGGTTATAGCTCAATTGGTAAGAGCATTTGCCTTGCATGTGTGAGGCACTGGGTTCGATCCTCAGCACCATATAAAAACAAATAAATAAAATAAAGATTTTATGTCTGTCTACAACCAAGCAAGTATTTGTGTGTGTGTGTGTGTGTGTGTGTGTGTGTATATATATATATATATATATATATATATTAGAGAAATTGATCAAAAGTAGGAATAATTTTTTTTTTAACCAGGCTTACACCTATATAATCCTAGCAACATGAGAGGAGGAGGTAGGAAGACTGCAAGTTCAAGACAAACCTTCAGTAACTTAGTCAGACACTCTTATCAAAATTTTTAAAATAAAATAAAGAACTAGGATGTAGCTATTGGTAAAGTGCCCCTGGTTTATATCACAATTAAAAAAATAAATAGGAAATGCTGTCTTAAAAAATAAATTTTTAAAATATGTAAATTTCTACCATACTCCTCAAAAGTATACAGCTATTTCCCATCTTTCCTATACATTCTACCTAAACCCTAAGAACTTTTAAATCTAGATGGGAATAACAAGTTTTTTTTAAAAAAAGGAGTTAAATTCTAAACTTATAATTGAAAGCTAACAAGCAAAAACTGAGCAACTAACTTGAATTAAATTTCTAATTTCATGACTAGTAAAAAGTAATCAGCTATGTAAAAAGTGCTGTTCATTCATACATAGACAGAAGATTTGGGAAGCTATGAGATATGAATCTGGTAGAGCTCAACCTGTTTCTCAGTGCTAGATTTCCATTGTCTTTTAAAAAGTTGATTTGCTGGATGTAAGCAGTAAAATGTGCTCCTAGCTTCTTTCCCCTCAATATAATCTCTTAAGCCCATCAGCCTCTACTTTGCCTTTTTTTTTTAATACTCATAAGTAAAACTATTTTATTTATTTATATTTTTATTGCTGTATTATTATTGTACATAATGGTGGGATTTGTTGTTACATACTCATATATATTCATGATATAACAATATAATTTGAATAATATCATTCCCCAATATTTTCCTTTACCTTCCCCTCCTCCCTCCTCCTGGTCATTTGCTTCTATTGAGGTCCCTTTGATTTTTCTTGAGAACTCTCCCCACACTTTTATTTATTTATTTTTTTATCGGTTGCTCAAAACATTACAATGATCTTGACATATCATATATCATACATTTGATTCAAATGGGGTATGAATTCTTATTTTTACCACATGTACAAACTGCAGGATCAATTGGTCCATTTTGCATCTAAAGCATTCATTCATTTCTGTACCCAACTAGTACTTACTATGCATTCAGGGAGACTCCTTAAGACTCATCCAACATATAGTCTCCCTGTTTACTTGAGTCAAAACCTTTGATTTTCATGGGACACGGCAATTCTCAAAACTTAAAACCTACACATTTTCTCCTTTTTTACAGTTAGATGTGCCTTGTGGTTGTGACCCATGAGATATGAATCAAACATTTCAGTCAAATAGCTATGTGAACCTTAGGTTCTTTGAAATAAATATAATTCAGTAGGAGAGAAGGTCCTTTTTGATTCCTTAGACTGATGCCCTAAACACTGAAATAACAGTTGGAACTCCAACATTACCTTAGATCATGAGATGACCTTGAAGATAACTTGCGCTCTAAGAATGGAGAACTTTCAGAGACTGGATCTTATTGATACTGTGTAGCATCCTAGAGGGCTTCAATCCCTCACTACTGACTTCTGTCTTATAGAGACAGAAGTAAACTTTTAAATTATTTTTTTCCTATTACACCTGACTGAATATAACCTAAGTTAATGCATGTAACTATGTACCAAACAATTTCCTGATAGATAATAATAATATATATAAAATGCAGTGTATATTTTATATATTACTATATATTATATAGCACATATAATACAAAGAGAGAATTGAAGGGGAATATGTAACATATCAACAATCTCAGTATAGCATGATAAAACAGAGAATAGAGGATATAGAGGATTGTTACCTAAGTCAATGTAGGAGTAGGATCAAGCAAGAGAAGTTACAGAAGATCTATCAGGAGATGATGTATAAACTGAGTTTTAAAGTGAGTAGATTCAACATGGATGAACTAATGAAGGACATTATTCTAAGTGAATTAAGCAACTTATAAAAAGACAAAAGCAATATGATTCCTCTTTTTATGAAATGAAATATCTAGAGTGGTCATATCATAATGTATAATAACAAAATGGTGTTTGCCAAGAATTGAGAGAAGAAGCAAAAAGGTCATTTAATGGCTACAGAGTCTCAGTTTTGCAAGATGAAAATGTTCTGAAGGTTGCCTGCACAACATGAATGTACTTAACACTACTAAATTGTACATTTAAAATGGTTAGGATTAAAAAAAATGGTTAGGATGGTATGTTTTATGTTACGTGTATTTTTGCCACAATTTAAAAACAAAGTGAGAGCTGGGTGCAGTGGTGCATACCTGTAATCCCAGAGGCTTGGGAGGTTGAGACAGGAGGATCACGAGTTCAAAGCCAGCCTCAGCAATAGCAAGGCGCTAAGCAACTCAGTGAGACCCTATGTTTAAATTAAACACAAAATAGGGCTGGGGAAGTGGTTGAGTGGTCCTGAGTTCATTCCTCAGTCCAAAAAAAAAAAAAAAAACAAAGTGAGTAGAAAATAGAATGGATTTGAAAACAGTTTGACTTGATAAGACCCTGCTTCTCGCTCTAGCCTCACCTGAGACCTCACTCCCAATCAGTGCTTCTGATGCACTAACCTTTCTTTCAGGTCCTTAAACCCTTTCCGCTGGCTCTTACTTTAGGGCCCAAGATTTATATAAATTGTTAGCCTTAAGTCCTCTGTTCCACACTAATCTTTCCTTCCTTCCCAACCATTTCTTTGCTTCCTATATCTCTTCAAAGGATATCTCAAAACTCTCCAGAAAGACATTCGCAAAACTGTCCAGTCTCAATTAAAATGTTATAAAAATATATTCTTTATTTTTCCTTCTTACCATTTACCACAGTTGATGATTGCACATTATCTGGTTAATATATATCTACCATATTTTATGAAGAAGTCATGGGCAAATTCTTTTTTTCTGTTTACTATCATATCACCAACACTAGCAGCATAGGAAAGTGCCAATAAAGCCAATCAAATAGAGCTTCTAATCCATCTGAAGTTGTTATTTGGATATAAAGAACAATGGACTAATAGGAAGGAGAGAACTAACAATACAACTGAAATTTTTTCACATGATTTTTGAGAATATAAAGTCTATAGTATTATTGGCAAAACTAACAATTATCACTATCAAATAGTTTTTAAAACTTCATTACTTAAAGAAACTCAGAGGTATTTAATAATTCATAAATTGCTATCTTTGCTGTATTTCTGTCTTTGCTTACCTTCCTTTAAAATACAAATTTTTAAAAACATACCACCTGCTTTGTTATTATCAATGCTTTACATTTGAACAGCAGTTTTCAAAATGCTTTTGCAAATCTCACATGATCCACTACCTTAAGAGTTAAGTTTCTAAGGTTGACAGAAGATCAAGAAGATTTAGCTAGGATGATTCCCCAAACTAGAAATAGAAGGTACATTTTTCTGAATCATAATCTAGCACTCATATTACCTTCAGAAAGAAACACAGAATTTTAAAGGGGTATATTTTTAAATTAGTTTTTAAAAACTTCTTGGTTATTATAGAATGTGTAATTTCCTAAAATTCAGTCTTTTTAAAGTAGTGTGCTGTAACATAGAACTTTCAACTTCACACTAGCAAAAAACAAACAAACAAAAAACTCAAAGATATATTCTAACAAGTTTCTAGTATCTTTGGTTAATATGTATTTAGTAAATTAATCACTTAATAACATTACCTTAACTTTATCAAAAACCCATGTATCCAGTTTTGTTGCATCATCAGCACCAAAATCCTCTCTTTCAGCATCATAGCTGTAAGTATAAACATGGTCTCCACTAGCACCTAAAAAATAAATTGGGAAAAAAATAAATTTTTTAATAAATCTCATAAAAAATTGATAATCATTTAAAGAATTTTTAAATTTTTTTTTTCTATTTTTGGAGACTAGACCTCATTATGTTACCCAGGCTGACCTAAAACTCCTGGACTCAAATGATCCTCCTGCCTGGGCATTCCAAGGGCTGGGATTAAAGGTATGCACATCGATATCCAGTTCCATTTAAAGATTTTTTATGAGTAACCAGAAATATTTTATAAAGCACTTTGTTTATGATAAATACAGAAGGGAGGAATAATTAGCATGAAGCTATGTTATGTGCCCTGGAATACACTATATACTTTTACATTTTTTGTCCTCCTACTAATTTATCCTAATTTTACAGATACATTACTTGTAAGTAGTCAACTTGTCAAAGTCAACATTTTAATATGCAATAAAACAACAACAAAAAGCAACAGTTTCTCTCTCTTTAAGGGTTAAACTATTCAAAAAATATGTGCCTCTTAGGATGTTAAAATCTAAAATAGATGAAGAACCTTTCTAACACAAGAAAAAATTCAAATATTTCAATTTTCTTATTAATAGACTGTATTTTCTCAATAAAAGGGAATAAATAACTGCTTATTGCCAGTTTGAAGAGATCAACAAATTATTAATCATATAGACTTGCAAGACTTTATTAAGAATCTAAAACTAATTTCTGGGATAGACAGGCTCTTACAGATCTTAAGGGAGAGAAGTAACAAAGTAATGACAATATCTATAATATCAGTTTAGCTATAATGACTCTCTTCCTCTGTTTAGTCATTCTACTTCACACATCCCAAATAAAGAGACTTGAATGAGTTGGCTAGTTATCATAAGAGAAATGGAACATTTCTCATAGACTATGTTTGATATAGGCACTGGTCCCCCTTATCAACTGTAGCCAGGGTAGTGGCTTAACTTTGTAAAGCATATCAACTTAATCTGCTCTCACCACTGCTAGCTCCTCTAAAACCTAAACTGCTTCCCAACAAGGGAAATATATTAATGGCTGAACTATTTTGGCCTGCTCAGTATAATATTCTATGAATATCATATATTAAATTCTGAATATAGATTTTTGCTTTCTGAACACAAAATAATCTTCAGTAGTTCCAAATATTATAATTATATCTATGGCTAAGTATCATGTTATAAATCTTTCCATTAAGTAAAATAATTAATCATTCTGCTTTCCATAAAAGATAATGATGTAGCCGGGTGTGGTGGCGCTCGCCTGTAATCCCAGTGGCTCAGGAGGCTGAGAAAGGAGAATCACGAGTTCAAAGCCAGCCTCGGGAATGGTGAGGCGCTAAGCAATTCTGTGAGATCCTGTCTCTAAATTAAATACAAAATAGGGCTGGGGATGTGGCTCAATGGTCGAGTGCCCTCGAGTTCAATCCCTGGTACCAAAAAGAAAGCAATGACATGAAGTTCATCCAACTGATTTTAGAAAATAATATAATAAATTTTCTGATCAAGAGATATCGTAGTACTTGCAGATTTGTGCACAAGAACAAATGCAACAAATCCAAATGTCATATTTCAAGTTAGCAAATCGAATATATGGCATTCCAATAGGCTAAAAGCCATTAATGCCATATATATCAAATGTCAACACATACGCTATAATTAATAAATTAAAATAGGAATAATAAATTTTAACCCTTAAATCTTTATTTGAATATCTATTAATTTCTTTTAACAATTTATTGAAATTTAATGAAGCATATATTAACATTATCATAATGAAGCTATGTGACAAATATGTGGCTAAATGTCTCACATGAATTATCTAATTTAATCCTAAAAACAAACATATGAGGTAGAAATTATTGAGATTACAGGCCAAAAGTGGTAGTGCACACTTATAATCCTAGCAGCTTGGGAGACTGACGCAGGAGGACCTTGAGTTCAAAACCAGCCTCAGCAACTTAGCAAGGCCCTAAGCAATTCAGCAAGATTGATCTTTAAATAAAATACAAAAAAAAAACTAAACAAACAAACAACAACAACAAAAAAACAGGCTGGGGATGTGGCTCAGTGGTTAAGTGACTCAGGTTCAATCCCCAGTACCAAAAAAAAAAAAAAAAAAGATTACATATAAAGGAAAATAAGCTTACAAAGGTTATCTAACTTACCCAAGATTATAGAGTTGTTAAATAACAGGCATCTATACCATTTCACTGAATTCAAACTACTATATAACAGTATCATGTGCTAATATTTCAAATATAAGAAAGATCACTGTCAATGAAACTGGCATATCTATCCAATGTAATATAAATCCCTATTTCAGAGATATTTAAAATAAGAAAACATGTCTGAAAACCAATAAATGCAGAAATATATTTAAAAACATACTATTTTATTATTTATTTGTCACCTGAGAAAATATAATCAATGGCTCTCTTACCTTTGGCAAACATAGGTAAAATATCTGGGCTTCCCCAGCTCCATGTGTACTTGCTTTCATTAAAAAGAGAATCAAATTCTACAGGATTTTCCTTCCATCCTTAGGTAATCGAGAAAAAAGGCAAGCAATAAGGGTAATAACTACATGGTAAAAGAAGCCCCCAAAGATGTAGTCTTCAAATAATACCATTAATTGAAGAACAAATACAAAACTAAAATAGATTTTATATTATGCATATTGTATCACTATTTTAAAAAAATCTAACAATAGATAATCAACTTTTTTCTAAAACATAAAAGCACTTTTGAACTCTTAAAAGTTAACTCTAGAAAAATCACACATTCATCCAACTACTCAGGATGATGAAAAACTAAAGTTTAATTCCAGAATCAATATCAGTATGTGTTCATGTGAATAAAGCATGCTAAAAAACACTTATCAAAAGTATCTGAAAACAGACTTTTCACTTTATGACATAATTGATTAAAAAAAGGAATATTTATATGATAAGTGTTTCATTTAATAAAACTGTCTAAACAGACAATACCTTTGGCAACTGCACTGACATCTTCATAAAACCCAGCTATCATGGCTACATGACCCGGCCGAGATTCTGTTGGCACACGTGTATGAGATATACCCCAGCTGCCCTCATGCATTATGATACTCCTAAAAGATAAGGGAGACAAACAGTTAACATAGACTATCATTAATTACACTCATAAGTCATTATAAAAATACGACAAATACAGAAGGAATCAAACCAAAAGTAGTGGTAGGGTGCTGACCTTGGTTTGATCCCCACTACCATGAAAACACCAAGAGTTGAGATTTAAGAAGGAAAGGAATCTTTCAAAACCCAGCCAAGCCTATTTCTAGCCCTCCCACCAGCTCATTGCAGTAGCATGAGTGAGCCCAGGCGAGACAAAGAAACACTCAATTACAGAACAGAATCACAAGAAAAAATATACCACTAATGTTTTTTTTGTGTGTGTGGGTTGTTCAAAACATTACAAATTTCTTGACATATCATATTCCACACTTTGATTCAAGTGGGTTATGAACTCCCACCTTCACCCCATACACAGATTGCAGAATCACATCAGTTACACATCCATTGATTTACATATTGCCATACTAGTGTCTGTTGTGCTCCTCTGCCTTTCCCATCCTCCACCCTCCACCACTAATGTTTTAAGCCACAAAATACTATGATGGTTTGTTACATACAAATAACTGATAAAAATTGTATTATTATTTCAATGTTAAATTTTATTTAATGTTACGATAGTATTGTCGTTATTTGAGAGTAAGTCCTTGTTCTTTTATTTATTTATTTTTGTACCAGGGATTAAATCCACGGCACTTAACTACTGAACCATGTCCCCAGCCCTTTTTAAATTTTTTTTTTTTTCTGAGACAGGGTCTTGCTAAGTTGCTTAGTGCATTACTAAGTTTCTGAGCCTGGCCTTGAATTTGGAATCCTCCTGCCTCAGCCTCCCAAGTCACTGGGATTATAGGTGTACATCTCTACACCCAGCTGTTCTTATTCTTAAGAAATGTATGTTGAACTGTTAAGGAATGAAGTATTACAATATATTACTTTCAAATTGCTCAGGAAAAAATATTTAAAAATTGGGCATACGCAAATGCATATCTCTGTCTGAATATGTTAGAAGACAATGCAATATTTAAAAAGTTAAAAACAATATTTTTTTTAATTGCACATCAATTTATTTTTATAAAGGATTCAGTTTGCTTTACACAGTATAAATGTGACTCAGGGTCCTCTAGGGTATTCAGTTAGTGGTAAATGTTATGAAGAGAAAAATAATTAGTAGAGTTTTGATTCACCTGTGAATATAGAAAGTTAAAAGGCAAAACTAGGACTTGAATCCAGTTTTTTTCTTTATTGAAATATTCTTATTTTTGAAATACTTTTGGTACCAACTGAGAATTCACTTAATAAGACACTTCAATTTGTAATGAAATGTCTTGGCTTTCCTCTATTTGTAATGACAGTATAAATTATTTTTATCTCAAAATACTTGGAAGGAAAAAGAAATTAATTCAAATGATTATGTCAATAAAACATTGTTAAATTTTTGAGATCATACATTTTGGAATCTGGGTTAATGAAAAATATTTTTATTATTTAAATTAGTTAAAAACAATATTAAACTAACTTAAAGATATACAGTTGTTCATCATATAAACTTTTTTTTTTTCTTTTTGAGGTCAAACCCAGGACCTTGCACATGTTAGACAAGCACTCTGACACTGAGTTACAACCTTTATTTTCATTCTTATTTTTATTTTTAGACAGGGTATTGGTAAGTTGCCAGGCTGGCTTCAAACTTGCATCCTCCTGCGTTAGTCTCCCAAATAGGTGGGGATACAGGTGTGTGCCACCACACTTGATCCAATATGTAATCCTTTAACTTCTGTGCAGTTAAAACATTGTTAAAAAAAATTAAGGGGAGAAGAAATGTGATAATCCTAATTAGGAGTTAAATTATATTCCTATTTAAGATTAAAACAAGAAATTCTTTTGCTAAAATGTATCAATATTATTTAAGTTGTATTACAGTGATTGACAAAATGTGAGAAGAAAGCAAAACCACCCTAGATGCTATTACTGGTAGAAGGCCGGCAGAGCAACAAATTATATAACAGTAAACATACCAATAACACATTTGATAATGTTTTAAAATCATTATATTCTGAAGAACAATACTTATAATTATTGGTTTATGTTATTTAAACATTGACTAATCTCACAATAAAACCAGAAACCATACATAATAAGGAAATGGTTTAAAAACCACTGGATTGAATACGAGAAATAGTCTTTCACTTTTTGAGTTATACAATGAAAACTAGAATAAAACAAATGGGTTAGTATTAAGAAATCTGGATATTTATATTCAAGAACATTAATTAGATTTTTCATTAGATCATTTTATACCTTCTCCACCCGCCACCCCTGCCCAACTAGGGATTGAATCCTGGGCACTTTACAATTGAATTACATCTGCAGCTTTCCCCCCTTTTTTTGAGACAGTGATGCATTAGGTTGCCAAGGCTGGCCTCAACTTGTGATCATCCCGTCTCAGCCTCCTGAGTGAGTGGGATTACTGGTATGTACCACCATGCAGGGTTTATATCAGATTTTCAAAAAATAAAATCTTTCAAAAACCATTTTAGAAGAAGTTACAAGATTTCTGAAGTTATAAATATACAATGGCATGCAATACAGAATTCACAAACTGTTTGAGCCTTTGACTTTAAGCGTTTCCTTTAATAAGACCCAAACCAGAAACAAGTGCTACCAGAAAAAAAAAAAACTTTTTTCTTATAAACCAGTATATATGTACCTTAAGAATCTTAGGAAATGGATATAGCTCAGTGATAGAGTATATGCTTAGCATGTGGGAGGTACTGCATAAAATCCCCAGGACCACAGGGAAAAAATGAAATAAGTTATATATCTCTTTTCTTTGGAAACTAGGAAATTCACACAAATACATTATCCAAATGTTATACATTTTTGTATACTGTAACCATAGTCTGCTCTTATTTTCCTATTACTATTTCCTTGTTGACCTAAGTGGCTCATTTATGTGTTTTTATTCTTTATTATATTATGCATTTCCCTGAGCCACTATACATTTGTTTCTGGAAATTCAACAAAGCATTCAAGATCATTCCTTCTTCCAGGAGTCAACAAATAATTGCCTGTTTATATTCTAAAAACTGGAGATAAAATGGCATGTAATTCCTGGCCCTCGTAGAACTTGCACAATTATAAGTACTATAATAAAAATAAAATAAAACACGGTAAAGGGATAGAAAATAATGATGACAGTTAGGGATGGGTGAAGGTAGAGTATTTTAAGAGAAATTTCCTCTTGACTTTGATTTTTAATCTGTCCACAACAGCATTAGGAAGGGTTATTGAGGTGTTTGCCACTAATCAGAAAAAGAAAAAATATTTATTAGGAGCCTCATAGGTCAAAAAATTAAAATATATTTCAAAACCACTCAATAATTAATAATTCATTAATATTTATACCTGTCATTATTTTTAAAATGAAAACAAAAACCTGCAGTCTTATTTTTTGAAGAAAAAGATAATACCATGAGCTAAGAGCCAGGTTTGGGAAATAAGGACACATTAACAAAAGCAACTAAGGCCACATTTTTTTTTTTTTTTTAAAGATAGTATCTTGCTGTATTGCCCAAGCTGGCCTCCAACTCTTGAGCCTAAGCCATCCTCATCCTCAGTCTTTTAAGTAGTTAGTACTACAGGTGTGAACCACCATGCCTGGCTAAGGTGCCTGCCTAAGGCACATGTGTCAATTCACATGACATCAGCTTCTACAATAGTAAAAATAACACCTACAAAGAATTGGCATTATAGTGATAATCTATAAGACATTATAGATAAAACTGGCATTATAGTGAACAAGTGCTCTATTCTCTTACTGTTTATCTCACTACCTTTGCACCCAATGTAAGATAAACAGTAAGATATTTTACTGTTTAATAAAACTCAGGATAATATTTCTAAGAGATATCGCTGTACCAGTTGACAAATTTACCTAATAAATGGTGCTCTTGAATTTCCATTTTCATCTAATTCATAAAGTGAATCTGCTCGAAGGCCATCAGCAACAAACAGCACTAATCTTCTTGCTGGAGGTGGCAATGGTGTAAACTGAGGAGTCATTCCATGAACCAAAGGAGATGTAAAATAAATGTCAAAGATGGAGGCAAAGAACACAAAATGTACAAGCAATCCCAAAGTAAAGAACAGCAGCATATCTGGTGTAACTAATTAATCTTCAAGAAAAACTGAAAGAGAACAAAATTAACTAGTGTAAATCTTAATGCAATCATAGGTATTTCCACATATTTTAATGACTACAAACAAATCAAACATATATCTTACAATATTATTTATATAACTCACAACTTCCTTTCATTTATGCTGGTAACAATAAACATTAATGAGAGATAATACTGAAATAAAATATATGATAAAGTACACCTAAGCAAAAAGAAAAAGTTCAAGTATAATAAGTAATTAGGACTAATAAACTATTTATAATAAATTTAAGTACATTCTAAAACACAAAATTTAACATAGGATCAAAGAACAAAGAATTAAATCAATCCTAAAATAAGTTAGGATTCAGTCAAATCAAATCCTACATAATATGAAACAACTCATGCTCCTTTTGGTTGACCATATGACAACTGTTGCTATTCTGAGAATTTTATTTTAATTAATCCATAAATATTTAAATGTTTTGAGTTTAATTTTTTTTTTTTTTTTAACTTTGGTAATTAGCTCAAGGTCCTCTGGCTCTCTTGACTATCAACAAATTGGGCAGAAAACATGGATTCTATTCATTTAGCTGAGTCATTTGTAGGAAGTTAAAAAAAAATGTGCTTCACTAATCTCTAGAATATGTAAAGAACTCAAAAATCTTAACACCAAAAAAACAAATAACCCAATCAATAAATGGGCCAAGGAACTGAACAGAAACTTCACAGAAGAAATACAATTGATCAACAAATATATGAGAAAGTGTTCAACATCTCTAGCAATTAGAGAAATGCAAATCAAAACTAAGATTTCATCTCACTCCTGTCAGCATGGCAACAATCAAGACTACAGGACATGATAAACGTTGGCAAGGACGTGGTGAAAAAGGCACACTCATACATTGCTGGTGGAACTGCAAATTGGTGCATCCAATATGGAAAGCAGTATGGAGATTCCTTGGAAAACTGGGAATGGAACCACCATTTGACCCAGTTATCCCACTCCTTGGTTTATATCCAAAAAACTTAAAAATAGCATACTACAGTGATGCAGCCACATCAATGGCAGTACAATTCACAACAACTAAATTGTGGAACCAACCCAGATACCTTTCAGTAGATGAATGGATAAAGAAACTGTGGAATAAATAATACACAATGGAATATAACTCAGCATTAAAAGAGAATAAAATCATGGCATTTACAAGTAAGTGGATGGAGTTACAGAATATAATGCTAAGTGCAGTAAGCCCATCCCAAAAAACCAAATGCAGAATGTTTCTCTGATATAAGGAGGGGTGGGCAGCATGGGAGGAACAGACTACTTTAGATAGGGCAAAGTGGAGCAAGGGGAAGGGAGAGGGTATGGGCATAGGAAAAATGGTGGAATGAGACAAACATCATTACCTTAAATACATGTATGAAAACACAAATGCTGTGACACTACTTTGTGTACAACCAGAGACAAAAAATTGTGCACTATTTGTATAATATGAATTGAATTACATTCTGCTGTCTATATAACAAATTAGAATAAATAAAATTAAAAAAATATATATAACACAAATTAAAAAAAGAAGAAAAAATATGCCTCAGAAACTTTGCATTTATTAAGGAATATTTTATTTCCCCAAATTAATTTAAAAAAAGTCACATGATTCATTCAATAAAAATGTTCTGTGTACACAGTGTGCACAATTGTGTGTTAGGGTACTGCAGAGAAGAGAAAAAAGGTCAAAGGTTTGATGAATTTACAAATACTAAGGAAAGAAAAGTCAGCAAAGTGAAACATTTAAACAATACTGTAAGACAATATGCCATTACACTGCCAAGATCAAACCATCTGTAGGAATATTTTTCAAATTCGTCCATAATTTGTTTTTGTTGATGAATCTCTGCATATTAAGAAAAAAATCACTTAAATTTGTCTTACTTGCAGCAAGCAGCATTTGTCACATATAGTGAGCCTGGGCTGAAAGACAAGATCTTATTCTTCCTGGCCTGAATAATCATCACATCATGGAAAGAAAGGATGGCAAAAATATCCTGCAAAAACAAAAGAGACACTGGAAAAGGACTTATCAAAGACAAACACCTCAAAAAATAAAATAAAATGTAAGAAAAAAGAGTCCAACTACCAGCTACTTTTTTTCCTGAGAGAACAATTAAACATCAAAGATAATCTGCAAAGTATAAAAAGTGAGTAGATGGTATTTTGCCATGTATGACAATACTCTTTTGAGTAAATGTTTGCTTCTTTACTAGTATATATGAGCTTCAAGTATATTGTAAGCACCATGTTTTAATGTTATTCTAAATATTTATAAGATAAAATCATTGCAGTAAGTTTAGAAAATTACATAAAATTATCTGATTCTACCATCTGAAAAAAAATCTGTTTTCTTATAATTTTTATCCTATCCACATTTTTACAGAGGCACATAATTTTAATGGTAGATTTTTCCTGGTATACATTTAGCATATCTTTTTATTGGTATATTATGATTATATATAATAGTGGGATTTATTGTGACATATTCACACATGCACATAATTTGATCAATTTAATTCCCTAGCCTTTTCCTTCCCCTCTTCCCTCCTCCTGATCCCCTTCCTCAATTCTACTGGTCTCCTTCGTAATTTCATTAGGTCCCTTTTTTAAAAAAAATTTTTTTTCTAACTTCCACAAAAGAAAACATATGATCCTTGACTTTCTGAGTCTGGCTTATTTCTTCAACATCATGCTCTCCAGTTCCATTCACTTTACTGCAAATGACTCAATTTCATTCTTTATGGCCGAATAAAACTCCATTGTATATACATACACCACATTTTGTAAATTCACCTGCTGACAGACAAAGAGTCTGGTTCCATAACTTGGCTATTGTGAACTGAACTGCTATAAATATGGGTGTATGCATGTATTACTATAGCAACATAAGTATATCCTAAAAATCAAACTCTTACAACATATTAATTACCCTCAACATTCTCCATTGAATGGGGGCTTATTCATTTTCCTAATTACTCCTATATGGATAAGCACTGAAATGTTTTTCCCATTTTTCACTATTAAAAATTATCAATGTGATTAATTTAAATTTATATGTAATTTTTATGTCCTAATGTTTGATACATGTCAGATTAAGTGTTAAGATACTACCTATACATGTAGTCACTGAGTCAAAAACCTATGAGCAGGGCTGGGGTTGAGGCTCAGTGGCAGAGCACTTGCTTAGCATGTGTGAGGCACTGGGTTTGATTCTCAGCACCACATATAAATAAATAAATAAATAAATGTCCATGAACAACTAAAAATATATTTTTAAAAAAACCTATGTGCATCTTTAAGGCTATTGATATACTAAATATGGGAAAAATTTTTTCAGTTGAATATCGATTTTCCTAATGGTAAATTAAGTAACTCATCGATATAGACTTCATTTGCTTATCTGACAGCTTCCTAAAGAAAAAGCTATCACTCCAAGTATACCATCTCTCACCTGAACCACCTAAAAATGCTCCCAGAGCTCTCCCCATAGAGACTGACTCTTTTCTGATCTATTTCTTGCCATTAGCCATAGTATTACTTTTTAAATGCCAATCTGTACATCTCACCCCTTGTATAAACCCTGTAGTGTCTCTCCCCCTACTAATCAACACTATAAAGGTTTTACAGGGACTGGTCTCTGCTTCATTTTCTAACCTTGCTTCAAAGCACTTTCCATTGCTCTAGGGTTATCTCACCTCACTAGTCTTCTTTAGTTTCTTCAAACATTCCATGCTCCCCAATGCTGTGAGACCTTCATAGATAAAATTTCTCTTCATAGAATGACCAACCTATCCTCCACCCTCTCTCACTCCACTGTCTCCTAATATCTTCTTTCAAGGCTTACTTCCTCAGGGATTGTGCAGGCTTAAGTCAGAAGTCAAAATCTTGTTAGTAATTATATAACTGTGTCTTTGACTATTTGGATTAATGTCTATCTCTGCCACTTAACTATAATTCCATGACAGCAGGTCCAGGCTTCATTAGCATCCATCACAGTCCTAAATACTTAGTAAGGACTCAGAGGGTTGCTGAATAAATTGTTTAGGATTACCATTTCAAAGCTAAGTGCAATATGCTGTATATCCACTAGAGGATGCCTTGCTCCTCTTTTTGAGCCTCCCAAACAGGACCTGTGAAGGTTCTTCCAAAACAAAAAGCTCAACATTTTATGCTTAAGTAATTTATTACACATAAAAGTGAAGCGACTGAAAAATATTCACATACTACTTATTATTGCAATATTATTACACAATATTTCTCTTTAGAGAGGATCACATTTGATTCAGACTTTTTGAAATATAAAGCTGTTTGCCATGAATTGTTTGGAAACCTCCAAAATGAATATATAATTATTATTTAAAAGGACATACCCAGCTAGAGAGGATGGCACATGCCTGTAATCCCAGCAGCTTTGGAGGCTTAGGCAGGAAAACTGCAAGTTCGAAGCCAGCCTCAGCAATTTAGAGAAGCCCTAAGCAAACTTAGGGAGATCCTGTCTCAAAATAAAAAAAAGGGCTGGAGATGTTGCTCAATGGTTAAGTGGCCCTGGGTTCAATCTCTGGTACCAAAAAATTAAACAAATAAAATAAAAGGACATATCCACGTAACAGTAAAGTTACCTAGCTTATACTTGTGGAATGCAAATAATAAAACTTTTGATATTACTAAAACTTTAAATCAACCAAAACTTGCATTCAGAATGTTACTTGTGGTTATTGTAGGACATTTAAAACCAAAACATCATTTTTAACATTAAATGACTGAAGTACTTAGAAATTTTCACTGCTAATGTACAAATTTCAATGATTACTCTTATTATTCAGGTGAAACATCAGCTGTAAAATTCTAGATTAATGCAAATCTAAGTAGAGAGAAAATTTCCCAACAGTATTAATAATAAGTTATGATAGCAATCAGAAATTAATATTCCAGTGTGTGCTAATTATACATTTTCAGTTTATCAGTAAACCTCTACATGTGGTAGGAGGGAAAATGTACCTACTGTAAAATTGGCTAGTTGATTCGTGAAGGGCTTATACAGTCATATAAACAAATCCATGATTACAGGATAGGAATCAGAAGCGGGAAACCAGATTTGTATGGGAAATCAGTCATGAAAGAATTTCTATACTCACCTTCTTATAACTCTCTTAGGAAACATTTCAAATCTATTTTTAACTGTGCTTTAAAAACTCAGACCTGAAATTAAAACTATTCCTTCTTTTAGTCCTACTGACTTAATTGCTTTTCCAAGTTTTAGTTGCCAAAAATTCTTTGTTTTTAAAAACTTTCAAATGCCCACATTTAACAATTGTTGGTATTTACTAATATTTCATTAATTAATAACTGACCAAAGTAACAACATTTACTGAAAACCAGTGACGAGAGCATTCACAATTCTCCATACATATTTTCAATATTTATCTTGATAGATATGCGAGTCAGGCTGAGAGAAGTTTGGTTTAACTTTTTTGAAGGTCCCACCTTAAATAATGGGTGGAATTGAGATTTAAATTTGGATCTTCTATTTGATAAACACAATTCTCTTCAGGAACCCCAAGTGTAGAAAATTTCTAAAATTCCCCATTATAGAAATGGAAATATTGTATGTGAACAGTTTCTAACCAGGCCCTTCCCACACCATTGACTAATTCTCCATTCCTACATTCTGGAAATTGGTTCAAATTTTAATCTCTCTGGCAAATGCAATTAAAATAAGAATCAGCAATGCCAATCAAAATCCCAACGGCATTTCTTGTAGAAATAGAGAAAGCAATCATGAAATTCATATGGAAAAATAAAAGACCCAGAATAGCAAAAACAATGCTAAGCAGGAAGTGTGAATCAGGCGGTATAGCTATACCAGACTTCAAACTATACTACAGAGCAATAGTAACAAAAACAGCATGGTACTGGTACCAAAACAGGCGGGTGGACCAATGGTACAGAATAGAGGACACAGAAACCAATCCACAAAACTACAACTACCTTATATTTGATAAAGGGGTTAAAAGCATGCAATGGAGGAAGGATAGCATCTTCAACAAATGGTGCTGGGAAAACTGGAAATCCATATGCAACAAAATGAAACTGAATCCCTTTCTCTCGCCATGCACAAAAGTTAATTCAAAATGGATCAAGGAGCTTGATATCAAATCAGAGACACGCCGTCTGATAGAAGAAAAAGTTGGCTACGATCTACATACTGTGGGGTCGGGCTCCAAATTCCTCAATAGGACACCCATAGCACAAAAGTTAATAACTAGAATCAACAAATGGGACTTACTCAAACTAAAAAGTTTTTTCTCAGCAAAAGATACAATAAGAGAGGTAAATAGAGAGCCTACATCCTGGGAACAAATCTTTACTCCTCACACTTCAGATAGAGCCCTAATATCCAGAGTATACAAAGAACTCCAAAAATTAGACAATAAGAGAACAAACAACCCAATCAACAAATGGGCCAAGGACCTGAACAGACACTTCTCAGAGGAGGACATACAATCAATCAACAAGTACATGAAAAAATGCTCACCATCTCTAGCAGTCAGAGAAATGCAAATCAAAACCACCCTAAGATACCATCTCACTCCAGTTAGATTGGCAGCCATTAGGAAGTCAAACAACAACAAGTGCTGGCGAGGATGTGGGGAAAAGGGTACACTTGTACATTGCTGGTGGGACTGCAAATTGGTGCAGCCAATTTGGAAAGCAGTATGGAGATTTCTTGGAAAGCTGGGAATGGAGCCACCATTTGACCCAGCTATTCCCCTTCTCGGTCTATTCCCTAAAGACCTAAAAAGAGCATGCTACAGGGACACTGCTACATCGATGTTCATAGCAGCACAATTCACAATAGCAAGACTGTGGAACCAACCTAGATGCCCTTCAATAGATGAATGGATAAAAAAAATGTGGCATTTATACACAATGGAGTATTACTCTGCATTAAAAAATGACAAAATCATAGAATTTACAGGGAAATGGATGGCATTAGAGCAGATTATGCTAAGTGAAGCTAGCCAATCCCTAAAAAACAAATGCCAAATATCTTCTTTGATATAAGGAGAGTAACTAAGAACAGAGTAGGGTCGAAGAGCATGAGAAGAAGATTAACATTAAACAGAGATGAGAGGTGGGAGGGAAAGGGAGAGAGAAGGGAAATTGCATGGAAATGGAAGGAGACCCTCAGAGTTATACAAAAGTACATACAAGAGGAAGTGAGGGGAAAGGGAAAAATAATACAAGGGCGACAAATGAATGCCAGTAGAGGGGGCAGAGAGCGAAGAGGGGAGGGGAGGGGGGATAGTAGAGGATAGGAAAGGCAGCAGAACACAATAGACACTAGTATGGCAATATGTAAATCAATGGATGTGTAACTGATGTAATTCTGCAATCTGTATATGGGGTAAAAATGGGAGCTCATAACCCACTTGAATCAAAGTGTGAAATATGATATATCAAGAACTATGTAATGTTTTGAACAGCCAACAATAAAAAATTTTAAAAAATAAAATAAGAATCAGCAATCCTGTTTGCTAAGAAATAAGTAACAGGATACAATACTGGCCATTTTTATACTGTGTTCCTGATATCAGGGATTTTTTTTTTTTTCAGTATATGGCTCAGAAAAATATTTAGTATTAGGAAATCAGGAGCTAATATCTTAAAAAATACTTGGAATTCTTAGTACTAAACTATTCTTAAAGCTTCTAGCCAAAAACAAAGGGAAAAAAAAAAATCCCAAAGTCTCATTCAAATGAAAAGGTTAGTTTACAGAGCTTGGGTAAACTGAAATTAAATCCTACACTTAAGGGTTGGCATACCTTCACATGGAAACCAATAACCTGACCTAAGGTTATATAAGAATGCTCTATTTTTATTTTTCCACAGAGCTAAAGGAAATGCTTTACTGTTTCAATGTAACAGGTAACCTACCTGATAGTCATAATTACTGTTGCCTATTTATTTTGGTGGAATAAATATTTTGCTGGAAGCTGTACAGCAAGAAATCTAAAACCTGCAAAATGGCAATTTGTGTGTGAAGGAAATAGAAGCTACCAGGAATATCAGTCTAATACAGTTGACTGGAAAACATTCCTTTACCATCTCAGACTGTAACAAAGGAATGACAGAAAAGATAAAACACTAGTCTTTCAAACTTAGGAATATACATGAAGTAATAACGCTTCACAAAGGAAATCAAAACTCTCTACTACATACAACTGTTAAAACCATTAAGTTCCACAATCAAAACCTTGATTCTAGCCTACACGAAGGTGTCAGAAAGGATAAAGGGCATTGTGAGAGAAAAGCTTTGGACATAAGACAAAGGCTCTTAGCTCTTTTGAAGATCTATTAATGAAGTTTGAATATTAATAGAAGACCATTGACTCTCTAGGCTTAAGTTTATTTATTGCTCTATTGAAGCGACAGCACTGGATATTCTGAGGAGTCTCTGTTGTACACTTTATGTATGAAATCCTAAATGTTTACTGAGCACTAACAGTTCGTTGTCCAAGCCCAGGCTGTTCACAGATGCAGACAGGTGCAATCCTCCGCGTTCCGTTTTCCCTTCAGTCCCTGCACCCCACACCTTTACAGGGCGACGCGAGAAGACTGCGGCTGCTGGCTCAGGTGAACACGTTGGGGAACGTAAGCAACAGGAAGGAAGGTAAAATCTGACTACACCTGGGTTCTTTCTATCCCTGCAGAGAAGATGCCACCGACTGCCAATAAACGGCGGGAAGAAGTGAACCCACTAAGAGAACAGCGGTCCGCGGGCAAGAGGACCCCGTTTCAGCGCCGCCGCACCTCGGCGCCCTGAACCCTGGACTTTACCTGGGGCTTATCCGGGTCAGACCTGAACTCAGGAACGAGGCCTCCTCGGCGCGAAGGCAGGACCCAGAGTTCTTAAAGCCCTCGCGCAGGGTTTCCCACAGCCCCTTCAAACGATAGCCAAGTGGATACCCCTCTACCACCTCCACGTTCGCCCCTGAAGCACGGAACGCCCAACACTTCCCGGGCCGCAGCTGTTCTCGCGATAACTCCTGGGCAGGCCCCCCCCCTATAAGTCCAACCAATCATGGAGAAGTTGTGGGAGGGGTTTTGCTTTTGAGCCGGGAGCGGGTCCTTGGATCTTCGAGGTCTGGCGCCGAGAATGGGCGGGGCTGAGGCGTTCTGGGGCGGGGAGAGGGCAGGGCACGGACCAGTTCTCGCGAGACTGGGGACCAGGAAGACGCCTGCAGAGCCGGCTGCTGGTGCAGCGGCTGCTGAGGCAGCGAGTGCTGCTGCATGCGGATTGCCTATCTCCGAGGCTACGCCTGGTCTCTAGGTAGGGAGACCGGACGTAGTCAGACCCGGGCTGTGTAGGTGCTCAGTGCCTGCCGAGCTTTAGGAGGGATTCAGGCTGCGGCCTGTCGGAGCCAGTCAGGGAGGCGCCCACACTCCTGACAGGATAAAATGGCGGCGATGGCGCCTGGAGGTAGTGGCAGTGGCGGCGGCGGCGTGAATCCATTCCTTAGCGATTCGGATGAGGACGACGACGAGGTAGCTGCGACCGAAGAACGGCGGGCAGGACTTCGGCTGGGTGCCGGCGGTGACCTAGATCCTGGCTCTGCTGGCTCGCTGTCGCCACAGGATCCCGTGGCCTTAGGGAGCAGTACGCGGCCAGGGCTCCCTGGGGAGGCGTCGGTGCCTGCGATGGCCCTGGGGGGCACAGGGGAGACCCCAGCCCGCTTGTCAATCGATGCAATCGCGGCTCAGCTGCTGCGCGACCAATACTTGCTGACTGCTCTGGAGCTGCACACCGAGCTGTTAGAGAGCGGCCGCGAGCTGCCTCGGCTGCGCGACTACTTCTCAAACCCGGGCAACTTCGAGAGGCAGAGTGGGACCCCGCCCGGGATGGGGCCGCCTGGGATCCCAGGAGCAACCGGCGTCGGAGGCGCTGGAGGTCGGGAGCCGAGTACGACGTCGGGCGGGGGACAGCTTAGTAAGTGGACTAGCCTGTCACAGGCCCGCAGGGTTGTGGGATTGTGAAGACTTACTGCAGGGAGAGGGGTGTTTCTAGGCTGGTGCCAGGTTGAGGATATGGACGTTTTAGGGAGCGAGAGAATGTTGGGCGACCTGAGCGGAGAGGGTTCCTTTTGTGTTGGAAGCAATGGGATCCAGCAATGACTGTTCCCTTTGACTGCCTCCAATCTTTGGTGTGGTGTCACAATCTGTAAAATATCAAGAGTTTCCAGTTAACTGGCTATTACGACACTCCAGGGAAGGCTACCTTGTAAACTGTCTAATTGTTCTAAGTGTTTTTCCTTTTTCCCCAGTCTCCTGAATCACGCCTATCAGGAAATAATGTTTCTCAAATTGCCTGCAGCAATTCTTTGGTTCAAAGTCAAAAGAGAATAGGAAATACTGTTGCTGTCTCAGTGAAGTCAGATAAATGTAAGACCTGTTATCATTGAGATAGTTATCTTTCTCAAAATTGGTTTTTCTGCTGCATAAAATTTGTTCTGTTTAATTAAAGTCAATATAATTCAATTTCAGTGCCTTCATTTCAGTGATGATTAGTGTTCAGAATTACAGGAAAACTGAGAAGCAGGACGCCTGCAGTCTGTCTCACCATCCTACCACCACGCCGGCTTTTTTTCACTGCTTTAAATAGGAATTCACTGTTTTCTTGGAGTCATTTTAGTAGCATTTAGTCCTATACCGACTTCATCACTTATTTGTAAGCATTTTTGATAGCTTGAAAACTTTACTATCAAGGATGTATATTAAGATTACCAATATCCTCCTTTTGAGAGGCATCTTCAATTTTTTACCCCCCACTGATACTGTGAGCTATTGTAGTGTGTTATATGAAGCCATCTGGAATTTTCTAGCAAATGCAGATGTGTGTGTGTGTGTGTGTGTGTATACACACATGTATTTTCTAATGTAATATTCAATTTTAAAACTGTAGCCTGTTTGCTTTTTTTTAATTTATTCTGATTTTTTATACATGATGGCAGATTGATTTTTATCTGTATACTTTTGAATGATTCCAGAGACTTAATTTCTAAACTTAGTGGAAAGGCAGAGTGCATTTTCTATCAAGGTAAACAAACACATTTCCCTTTTGGATAAGTAGTTTTCTCAGTAGATGTAACTTCCTTACTTGAAAGAATAACCCCCTTTCATGGAGAGATTTTCTTTTCCTTTTCTTTTCTTTCCTTTCCAGATTGAACCCAGGGACACTCTACACCTGAGCTATATCCTCTGACCTTTTTAAATTTTTATATTTTGAAACAGGGTTTCACCCAAATACCAAGGATAGCCTCAAACTGTGATCCTCTTGCCTCAGTAGTTGGGATCACAGGCAGGTACCAGGAAGAGATTTTCTTATTGCCAACTTTTCTTTTAAGACTATAAAATGTGACAAACAGCAGTGTAACAAAATAGTTATGTAGCTATTTTTTCTTTTAAATTTCTAAATTATCTAATGATTTTAACCTGACAAACTCTTGCTCCTTCATCAAGACCCAGCTCAGGTGTCACCTTCATAAATGCTTCATACACTCCTCAGACTTAGTTGCTTGATTCTTTAATTGTACCACTTTCATCATAGCCTTTAGCTCTTTTTTATTCAACTTGATGACTATCATAACTGAATGTAATAATTTCACTTGTGAGCTTGGAGCTTTCTTAAATCATCTTCCTCATTTTTATTTTCTCTCTCATGAGCTTATCTATCTTTTTCAGCTCTTTCAGAGTACATATCTCACTATAATCAGCATTACTTTCCTTAATATCCCCAATGCTAAGATGTCATGATTGCTTTTTTTCCAGGGTTCCCATCTTTTCCATTTTACAAAGATATTCCTCTGTGTTAGGTTGAGATGAGTTTAGTGCTGCTTCTACCTTCTAAGAGAAAATATCAACAGAATATTTCTAAAATTATTAGGTTCACTTCTACCTTCTAAGAGAAAATATCAACAGAATATTTCTAAAATTATTAGGTTCACTTGTATTAGCTGAATGAGAGTTTCCACTATTGCCTATACCATTGACATTTCTATATATGTTTATTGCATAACTGTCATTTTTTTTTTGCCTGTGACTTTCTAGTGTTTTTAAAACTATTATTTTCTATGAAAATTTAGTTCAATATTTTCCTTGTCTAGCACAGTGACACAATTTTACATTGGCTTATTATTAAACTGTGATCATTTTAAGGTTATAGGGATCTAAAAGTTTAATGCACATCAGAGCTAAGAGGCAAAACTCATACAAGAAAGAATTATAGAGTAGACTTCTATGGTAATGTTTACATTCTTAAAGAAAAATAATTGGTGATTGTGGCAATGAAATGACCCTCGTAGAGAAAGTAAAATTTAAGTTTGATCCTCAAAGAGAGTGAAATTTTGAATAAATAGTAACTATTATTTATTTTAAACTTCTTATTCTAAGAAAAGGAAAAGGAAGTGAGTGTAAAGGAAAGATAGTATTTTCTATTTTTCCTTGTATAAAACATGGGAGAGGGTTGTGGCTCAGTGGTAGAGTGCTCACCTAGCATGTTGAGGACCTGGGTTCAATCCTCAGCATAACATATAAATAAGATAAATAAAATAAAGGTATTGTATCCAACTGCCACAAATACTTAAAAAAAAAATCATCTGGGAACATGAAGCTCTCTGCTGTTACTTGGCTCATATATTGTAAGGTGGTTCCATTTGGGTAGTTAAAAAATGCAGTAAGATATTTCAAGCCATTGTGACACTATACAAGGAAGCAAAATAGGGGTATTAATCTAGGAACACAGACCTTATTACTCTCAAAAATTAAAATTGCACTATTTTCCAAACAAGAATGTTAGGGATGATCTCTAAAATGTTTGTTGATGCCTTTATTGAAAGTATTGATTAGGGCTGGGGTTGTGGCTCAGTGGTAAAGCACTTGTGAGGTGCTGGGTTTGATCCTCAGTGCCACATAAAAATAAATAAATAAAATAAAGGTATTGTGTCTGTCTACAACTAAAAATAATTTTTTAAAAAAGTCTTGATTAATACTTTAGTATTTTTAGGTTAGAACTAAATTTGATGAACTGAAAAATTGAGAAAGATCTTAATATTGTGAGACTTGATGATAAAATGTGGGTTTTGAAATTACACTGAAAACATGCTCATTGATATAATGTTTGTTATTTGACTATACTTTGAATGCAGTGCCTCTTTGATTTGAGGTGGAGAGGATTGATTTACGTTGGGGTTGATCTACTTCAGTTGTCTTACAAGTTTTCATTTCAGTAACATAAACACAACTTTTATTTATTTATTTTTTTGAGGGGGTGTCAGTGATTGAACCCAGTGGTGCTTAACCAGTAAGCCACATCCCCAGTCCTTTTTTATCTTTTATTTAAAGACAGGGTATTTGCAAAGTTGCTTAGGACCTTGTGAAGTTACTGAGGCTGGCTTTGAACTTGTGATCCACCTGCCTCAGCCTCCTGAGCCATTGGGATTACAGGCATGCGCCACTGCATTGGGCATAGTAAGACACTTTTCTGAGGTAATTTGACAATGTCTGCCACATTCACAAATATACATTCTTTAATCTTCAATTTCATTTCTTTAATTTTTATAGACATTTGCATAAACACAAATAAATCTTAATTTTTAAATTTTTACAAGTAAGGGTATTAAAGTCTGAAAACAAAATGTCCAATAGTAGGAGATGGATTAATTAAAGCATAATGATCCATATATGCCAATATAGAATGATCACTAAGATACATTTAAATTGAATAAATTAGGGTGCAGCCATTATTTATGAGATGATTTCATTTATGTATGAAAAGAGAAATTTGCATATGCCTAGCATACTCTTAAAAGGATATGGAGGAAGATTGTTCCAGCAGAGTAAGATTGCTAGTTGGAAGATGGGGATGGGAACTTTTCTTTGGAAAAGAAAAGTATGTGGTAAAATATCCTTTTATATTTTACCACATACTATGTCTTAAGTGGCAAAACTGGGATTCCAACCCAGATCACTAA